AAGAAGATCAGTTAGAATTTTAATAAGATGTTGAAGTATTTGTAGTTGTAATAAGGATTTTTCAAAAAGATTAGAGTGGCAAAGTCATAGGCCTTATTCATGTCTTGTGATAGTAGCCAGAATTGTTTAGAGTTGCAAAAAGCATCTTCTATAGTATTGTTTAGGATATGTATTAGAATTGATGTACTATTACCAGAAAGAGCAATATAGTTATATAGAGATAGAATAGAGTATTAGGCAAAAATACTATTAAGTCTATTAGTAAGAAGTTTTGTATAAAGTTTTTTAATATGTTCAAGAAGACTAATAAGTCTAGTATTAGTAAGGTTGCTATCAAATATAGGTTTTTTGGATATTGGAAATATTCTTCTTTCTTTCTATTGCTTGGGTATATGCTTTAGTTTAAGACATTTGTTGAATAATGCAATTATAGCTGTTATAAATATAGGGCCTGCATGTTTTAGCATTTCATAGCTAATACCTATAGACCACAAGCTTTGTTGTTAAGGAGTTGATTTAAAGTTGTAAAAATTTCCTCTTCAGTAAAGTTAGTAAGAGCCTGTTGATACCAGTCAGTTTTGATATCAGCTTTGGGTTGATATTCATCTGACCAGGAGGAGTCAAAGATTTAAGTTTGAATATAGTAGAGGGAAGTCTATTGATCAAAGTGATTCTGGATGTGTTGTTTAATGAGTGGAATTTCTGTAATGATATCAGTATTAGTTTTGATGTTGTCAAATCTGATAGGTCACAGTGTTGATTAAATATACTGTTAATCATTGATGTAGGTTTGTGTTGAAGCTTAGAACATCTTTTTGCTATATTATTATTAATTTGTTCTTTAATGTTTTTAATGTTTTCTAAATTACATGCATGATATAATGATTTCTATTTTGTATTAGCTAAGAAGATCCATTCATGTAATAGTGCATAGTCTTTTGGTATGGATAGAATATTTAGAAGATGAGAGAAGTTAAGTTCATAAATTGTTTGATTGTGTTGAGTAGGTATAGTTGATTGTTGTTAAATAAAGGCTTTGGTTTGTTTAATGATGTTTTCAAGTTTTTTAAGATGAAAGTATAATTGTAATGCTTTTGAGGAGAATATATATTGGAAGTTATATATAGTAAATTTTTTATTTAGAATATGTATTTATGCAGCAGAGATGATACTAGTTTGAATTTTGTGCCAGGTTGCCTTAATAGAGACAGTTGTTTAAGTTGAAAGAGGAGTGTAAGTTGATTTTAGATTAGATGAGACTTGGTCAGTAAAGTTTTGCCAAAGTTCATTATTCATGTTTTTGTATTGAAATATTCTTTTTTTGGTGTTAGTGGCAGCTCTTTGTTTGCCTATAAAGGCATAAGAGAATTCCCATATAGAAATAAGAATGTTATAATTACTACAGATGCTAGTATTTAGATCATCAATAGTATATGATATGAGGTAGCATAGTAAAGAATAGTTGGCCTAAATATAATCAATACAGCTATTATATCGATTACTATGCCAAGTGGGTATTGAAGTATTAGTATGAATGGCCAGGTTATACATGTTATTATGCTGTAAAAAATGTAAAAGTTTGGATTTGATAAAAGAAGATTGAGGGTTATTAGTTGCATTAAAGTCTTCTATAACAATAGGCAATATATTTTTATACTCAGCTTCTTGTATCTATTGTATAATAGTGTTTTGAGCCAGAAGTTTGAATTGTGAATCATCACATAGTAGGTAAGTTGATATAATGTAAAATTTAAAATCATGTTTGAAGAATAGGTCAATTGCAATTGCATAATCATAAAACTGAAGAATGTTGTATATATAAGTTTTGTATCATAATTGCAGTTCTAGCTTTAGAGTTATTGCAACATGACCAATAATAGGAATAATAGGAAGATTTTTGTAATTTTATAGTTGCATTATCTTGAAATATTTTTGTTTCAGTTATGCCAATAATGTTTATATTATGAGATAGACAGTAGTCTTCTCAGACTTGCTATTTAAGATCTTTATTATATTTTTTTACATTATGTATATATATCTTTAAAGATAAAGATTAATAGGGTGTAGTTATTAGATCATTTGTTTATATTGAGTTATTAGAAGAAGGTGAAACTAAACTGTGATAATCTGAAGGTTCTGGTCTTTGGAATAAGTGAGAAGTAAGAAAAAACTAGTAATCTGAGTGTATTAGTATAGAAAAAACTAGTGTTGTGTGTTTGATTTTAGTTAAATATTTGGATAGTGCCAAATAGCTTGAACTGGTAAGATAAAGTAATTAGGTAGGAGTTTGGGTTCTGATAGGAGGTAGACATGAGCTTTACTATAATCATTTTTAATAGAGATAGTTAATATGAAGCCATATAAGTTATCAGGTGAGTAGCCAAAGCTGTAAATATGTTGTAAAAAAGTAATAATAGTTTAAGAATAAGGAAGTAGTAGTATGTAGTTATAAAATAAAAATTTGTTATAACAAGTATTAAATTAGATGTTGTTATAGTATTAGTTAGCTATAATAGTTTTATCATGGTCTTCTAAAATAGCTTCTACTATTTGGGAATAATTGTTGTCTAATTCATTATCCTTTATGATTAAGTTAGTATTTAGTATATTATTGTTAGTTGAAGAGAATTTAGAAAAGATAGGTATAAATAGGTAGTAGGTATAACCTGATAATTGTAAAAAGAAGTAATCAGATAAAAGTTAAAACACATATAGTAGATGTATATAACTATAGTCAAGTTTGATTACTAATCTTAGTACATAGTTAAAATTATTGTATTGTGTAAAGTTGTATTAGTAGATGTGTTTTAAAAATAAATTAAGTATTTGCGAATGTAGAAGTAAAGGTAGATTTAGATGTGCTAGCCATTGGTTATAGCATAAGTCTGGATTGTATAATGTTTTGTGAATTGGTTCTTGTGATGCTTCTTTAAAGTTTGATGATGAAATAGGATTCAAGGAAGTAGAAGATTTTTCTGTAGATTTGCTCACCATATACTTGGCTCTTACAGCATTTTTTATTTTTTCATTAGAAAAGATTTGTTATATTTATTTAAAAAAATTTTGTATTTCTGCTAGAAGGCACCAAATGTTATAGAGTGGAAGCCTTCTTAATTCTACTCTATAACAATGTATTTATTAAATATTTCAAATAGTAATAGAAGAACTAATAGTAGTAGATATTAAAAAACCTTATTTGTAATTCTTAGAGGTCTTGCTACCTTTTTTTTAAAAACTTTTTTTATAATTTGTTCAAGTTTAGATATAGTAATCAGAGACAAAAGCTTGTTATAAATATTATTTTTGATATTGCTAAATAGATTGTATATTGATTCCTATTTCTTTTAGATAGTATTGTTTAATAGATTTTTTTTGGTCCAGTTTTTAAAATATAAGTGTATAACTTCTTTGATTTTATTCTTATCAGTAATTATTTTATTAAGTAGTATAATCTTTTCAAAATTTACTAATTCTGCTTTTCTTTTATAAATGCTATCTATTATATAACTAGTATTATCTTTAAAGTTTGAATATCTTCTGCTTGTATAAAACTTAATTTATTTACTTTGTTCTTGATTTTTCAAAATTTTATGCTTGTCATATTGTGTACTTGTGCTGCTTTATTTGTATTATGAGATCAGATAGTAAAAAATTTAATTATACTTGTATAATTGATGAAATATCTATTTTTGCAAAAGTAACTGGCTTTGTTAAATAATAATTTGCTTTAGTTAGGTTACTTAAAGAGTTATTTGAAAAATATTGTATATATTTGTTAATATTTTTCAATGTAGAATGCAATTTGGTTGCTTTTAGCAAAAGCATAAAGAAAGGTTTTGGAGCAGTAAAGGTATATAGAATATATTTATTTATTTTTTCTTTAATTTTTGCTATTCAAAAGTTTCAAATTTTGTTTATATTATTTTTGTTTGTTCTTGATATTAGAATATTTTAAGTGAATTATCAAAGTTTTTTTTAATTTTCTAGTGTCATTTTCTCAAACAAGTATAGTTTTCTGGCCAAGATTTAGAGTCAATATAGGCTAGAATTATGTTGATGCCAGCTGAGTTTTATATAAAAACCTTAGCTAACATTAATATAATTTTAATTTATACTAATTTTAAACCATTATAGATATGTTAAATAATTATATTAGTAGCAAGTAATTAAAGCTTAGTTGTTATTAAGACTGTAATTAATTATAGATGTAATAAATAAAGAGAATTGATATTTCCACACCCCAATTTGATATTACCACACTCCTGGAGATTACGCGATAAACAATAATGCATACTGATTTAATATTGATCAGGATAATCAATTGATTGTCTAGCAACAATGCATATATATCAACTAAATAATCAATTAATCAGCAAAATACTATTGCTATATAGTAGTGCACTTTTGCTTTTGAGACTTTTTAATTTTTAAGAATACTTTGTTTGTCCAGTTATTGGTATGTTGGCCCACATATTTAAAACTTTTCATTTCAACCAAAATTTCTTAAAATAATATAAAGTGTTAATTGACATTTTTGAGTACTTATAAGACTAAATATCCTTCAATACTACAGTACTATTCTTTAAGATATATATGTAGACATAACCTCAAATATAACTTATAGGCCAGTACTTTATAGTATTTTCAAATTTAGGTGATACCAAGTTTTTAAAAATTATATAAAAAAAAAAAGATAAACTTTTACTATTCCTAGTATGAGCTGGATAAACATGTGTGAAATCATAAGTATATATAGAAGAAAGTAGACTAATATGAACAGGAACTTAAAAGATAGTGCATTTTTTCATTATTATTTCTTATTGTACATTACACATTTCACATTAACAAATATGGATCTACTTTAAAGAAAAAGAGCATAAGCAGGAATTGCAACTAAGATAAGTATTTAGTATATAATGAATAATATTTATATATATATCTTTTAAGATTAATTACATAGCATTAATAGATTCTATAGGCAATATGTGATATATTTTAAATCAAATTTCTGTTATATCTGAAGATTTATAACATGTTCTACTATTGTGACTAATTTTCTTACATACTTCACATTTTCTGCTACTTAGCCTAGCTTTTTCTAACTTAAAAACTGATAGGTTTTTTTTAGTAGAGGCTTGAGTCTTGTTACTCTTGTTTTGTGAACCAACTGGCCATTCTTGAGTCTGTTGCACAATTGGGTCTAACAAAAGCATAGATGATTCTTTAATTATTTCTATAAGTTTATTTCGAGCCACCATTTGTTAAAGGATTGGCCAAGAGTTATACTCTTAAGTGAATTCTTGAAATAGTAGTGTTAATAAATGCTTCATTGCTTTTGATTGGCTTTGTAGAGGTAATTCAAGACCTTTAATCTACTAATAATAATAAATATTATTAATGCTTAGTACCCAATTTGTAGCAAGACATTCTTGGATGATATATATGCATGAAAAACCCATATATTTATTGAAAACACCATTACAGAGTTCAAGAGGTTTATTTAATGTTGCATAAGAGGCTTTAAAGTATTGTTTATGAATTTGTCTTAAAGCAAATAAAAAAACCTTAAAAACTAATTGGCTATAGAAAAGAATATTTTGTGCATGAGAGATATAAGTTTTATTCTTGGATATTATTGCTTTAATTTCATTATATTGGTTTTCTAGTAATAATGAAATTTTTTCATACACAGTATGTAAATTAACAGTAGAAACTTGTAAATATTTCTTTAAAGTCACATGGATACCTTCTATCTGAGACATTGCTATATTACTCAAATGAAGATAAAGATCAATCCAAGCACTAACAAATTAAGTTTTAAAAGATAACTATATATCATTAAGATAGCTAATTGATGGATTTTTATTATATTGAGTACATAACTCTGTCCATTGAGTTTTAAAATCACTCTCTGTCCTTGACTTTACTAAATTTGTCCAATAATTAAAAAAGGTAATCCACTCTTGCTTTGTAGAAAAATGTCTTTTACATCTTGCTAAAACATTTTTTGCTATGTGCTATCTACAAAGAATATTTTTTGTTTCTAAAAATATATTTTTAATTGCATCTATAAGTACCAACTCCCAGACTGTTATAATAACTTTGGGTTTTTCCATTCTATTGAATAAAGAAGATATATGATTTAATACTTATATATAATCCTCTTTTTTTTTATCTTTAAGGAATATGAAGCATACAAAAAATGTTGTATTAAAGCTTGTTATACCAACAACATTAAGGAGTGGCATTTTGAATTTATTAGTTTTATATATACAATCCATGAATAATACAGAAGAGTACATATGAATTAACTCAATAAATCTATAATGAGAGAAGAATAGATGTGTTACATAACCTTCAGTATCAAGCTGGTAATCATACTCAAATTGACTCTCTCTAAGTTCTTTCATAAGTGCTTGGATGGGTGTACAACCTCTCAAATTTTCTAACTGAATTTTTTTGCGAATATTGTAGATATCCTGTGATGTTGTTGAAATTGATAGGTTAATTTGGTAAAGTAAAGATAATATTTCACATGAATGAACACCAGAATTTGATATCTCTTTTAACCACTCTCTTTCCTGTTCATTAGATCTTCGAAAAGATGGGTAAGCTAACATGTTATCAGAAGGATCATGATTATGAGTTGGATCAGTAACAGATAAAGTCTATACATCATTATTTTCCTTAATATCACAAACTGAGAAGGAACAACTAATCAATCTAGAACTTGTATTTCTTTGACATGTTTTATCTATTAAGTTTATACAATTTTTATATGTTCCACCTCAATCGCAACTAATATATACTTTATTTTTCTTTGATCTTGTAATAAACACACTATAACTATTAGAAGTGCTAAATGTTTGTATATGATTTATTAATGAATCTTGGTCTAAAAATTCACCAACAGGAGGTGCAGACATAGACATCTTGTTATATCATTTTTTAGCAAAAAAAAAAAAAACTTTCAAGGTTTTTTAAATGATAGATATATATATCTTAATATATAAATATATATGTTTACTGTGTAGTATTTATTGGTATGTATATTTTAGTTCAAATAGATGTGTTGTCAAACTTTTTATATGCTAACTAACCAATCTATATTTATATAAAAACTTTGTAAATTGTGTAGCAGATTTATTTTATACTTTGATACATCATAATGATAATATTTATTTGCAAATATTATTTTTATAGGTATATAATTAATTACAATATGAAACATTTCAGATCTGCAATCTATATGATGCAGTTTTATATAATGCAGGTCTATATAATACAAGTCTATATGATGTGGGTCTATCTATTTTAGTAATTGATTGCATAAACATAGGTCATTATTATTCATTATTAGTTATGGCTATAGATATATTAACAATGAACACAAAGGTTTTACAAATGCCAGACATATTCTATTAAAATATAGTGCTAGGCATAGGTACAGCACTATGTTTTAATAATATTATGCCTAGCACTTGTATAACTTTAGCATATGTAGATTTATATAAAATAATATATTGAAACTTTATCAAAAAGTTTTTTTATTATTAATCAATTCTTAATTATATGTATTTGTTATATGTCAAAACAGAATTATTGTGAATTTAAAATCCACCTAGGTTGATTCCAAATAAACATAGGTTGTAATAGAATTCTAAAATATGACTGAGTAGTTAAAAAATTCCAATTCAACTTATACTAAAGTTAAGTATATTCCAAATTATTTATTAAGCACTTTGTTTTGAAATTTAAGTTGCTTAAGACAGAGTTTATTTTATTAATTAAATTTAAAAGCATAATATGAAGTTTTTACATTTATGACTAGTATTTTCACTGGGTATATATTTTTTTTATTTACAATAACTTTTTCACACATATTTTTTGCACATACATTTAATATTACCATCTACTTGTAAGGAAGATTGCTTCTTAAATGCTTATATATATTAAAAAAAAAATCACTATAGTGTTCATTATATATAAAAGTCATTATAAGAACGTTTATTTATCTAGAGTTGATAGTGTTATAATATTTAATCTAGAAACCTATAAGCAATCCAATAATGCTGGATTTATATCTAAGCAATATGTTATTGCTGAATTTATTAAAACCTTAATACAAAAATCAAAATCTTTCATATGCTATAAAGGTTTTTTACATCAACTATTAGCTGATATATTTGGAAAGCATTTTTTCAAATACAAAAAAGATATCTGGTTATTGAATAGAGTATTTTTGCAAAGGATGAAAAGTGAAATAATAAAATAATAAAAATTTTGTATTTTATTTTGACAATTTACAATGTAAATTATTTATTTAAAATCAACTTGATTAAATTTACAATTATCATACTGTATTTTACTATATATTTCTTACAAATTATACTTTTTAGCATTTGTTTGTTATAAAAAAAAAATATTATAAATTGATTATTGATTTGTATTTAGAAATCTTAAGCATAATGAATAATTTTGAAACATACATACTTGGTACAAATATAGAAAAATAAAATTAGGATAGTTAATATACATCTTAATTGTTTTTCCTTATAATTTTTTACTGAGATAAAACAGTGTTATAGTTTATGTTAGGGTTAGGATTAGGACAATAAAGTTTTATTAATAAATTACATAAGGTATATTTTTAATTAATTAAAATTTCATATTATTTCTGTTTTGTAAAAAATAATGTGTTCACTTCAATTGTTTATGCTATGTCTAATCTTGAAATTTGATTGGCCAAAAATTACAAGAAGTATTATGTATTGTAGATATTCAACTTACATGCATGTTATTGGTATCTGTTATACATGCACATGACATGTGATCTCCGAAGATGTAGCAATATCAAATAGAGGGTGTAAAAATATTAATTCTCTAAATAAATATTATTTATATATACTAACTATATAGTATATTATAATATATATAATACATTGAACAAAACTAACTCTTTCTGCAAATCTATTGCACAAAAATTAACTAAAAAATTCGTCCGTCAAAAAACACTTATAACTTTTTATTTTACTAAGAAAACCTATCTTGGGCTTCTAAGTAAACTTGTTCAGCACATCATTTTACATATAATCTGTAAATATTAAGTCTTTGTACTTCAAACTCATCGAGAAAATCGTACTGACGGCCTTTGGCCTCCAGTTAATAACTTTTAGCTATTCTGCAGTTTTTACTGCCTTAACCTGTCCTATACTCTTAATTAAAGTTGTAGTATACAGTTACCCAGTCAAAACAAGCTTTAAACGAAGATTTTTGACCCAATATTGACTAAACTACAACTAAATTCAATACTTACTCTCTTATAAAACTTCTTTTTTTACCTTTTGTCTTTACCCTGTTCCCTTTTTCTCTTACATGGTTTTTGTGTAACCATACCATCACTTCCTAATCCATATCTAATTAATTTATACCAACATTTTGTAATCAACCTATTAATAGAAACTCATTCATACAATCAAGTACTTTCATATTTAGTCCTTATTAATATTACACAGTAATTTGTATTGCAAATCCTACTTGTGTTCAGTACCCGAGTCACATTTGTGACCCTATCCACTCTTGTTACACTTTTGTGTTATTCCAGTGACACCCCTAAACTACAACCCCTGTTTCTATTTACAACCCTTGTAAATTTAATTATTTACAACTATACTTCTTCTTTAGAAAACATATCTAAGTCTATAATCTCTACTTAGCTTATTATTTTTTAACAATGCCTACTTTAAGTCAACAAGAACCAGATACAGCAGACCTCGATTACTTTTACCAAAACTTTTCTAGGAGTTTTGGAATTGCCCTCTATGAAGAGGATAACAATAATAAGACTTGTCCAATCCCTTCCAAAGTTCAACCCACCTCCTGCTTAACAAAAAATCTTCGATCAAATAAAATTACTCATTTCTTTAAAGCTCCTACCT